AGAGAGAGAGAGAGAGAGAGAGAGAGAGAGAGAGAGAGAGAGAGAGAGAGAGAGAGAGAACAGAGAGCTGCAGATGAGAAATCCCAGGGAGAGTGATGCATTCTGCCCATGGAAAACGAGTTGAAGCAAATGGCTGAGAGGTGGGAAGCCATGAGGCAAGTGGGAGGAGAAAGACCCCTCCAAATAAGTGGGAGAAATGTAATCTGAAGGGCGTCAGTGGGTGATGAAAAAAGAAAGAAAAAAAAAAAACAGTCTTCAGTCTCCAATTAAATGGCACATATGGACGACTTAGTCCACTGGTGCTTCTTCGCCAAAAATGTGCGCCACCTACATGTGAGTTTGGCACTAGCATAGCCCTCTGCGACGCTGGCCATAGAAACCCTAACAATGTGACCTGTTCTCCATTCTTCCACTGGTGCAGTGGCACATATCATACCTGTGCATAGCACCACTCCCCTGCCATGCACCTATCTCCTAGTTGAGCAGCCCCACTCCCCTTTTCTGATTTTTGTAGAGCGTTGTCTGTGAGCAATTTGACGTCAGGCCATATCCCATCCAGCAAACCTACTGGCCTCTACACCAATCACTCATCAACTCGCTTGCTGTGAACCACAAGCCTGAACGTTATGCTTATCACAGTGGAGTTTGATGCAATCTCGCTGTCCAAGCTACCCTATCAGATGAACTTCTGGTTTTGGATTAACAGTACAACGAACAGGTACTAACTGAAAGCTGACTTACAAGTGTAACCAAGGTTAAGAAATCTGTGAATTTCGAAGATAACTAGCAAAAATAGCCGCACTTCATGCCGGCACATGGAAAAAAGGAATAGTTGGTGGAGGCAACTTCGTTGCATTTAAGATCGTCTGAGTGAATCGCCCCAAGAAACTGGCTGAACATCTACGTAGTCCCCTGCACATAGAAAATCCAAGGTACTTGGGACTCAGAGCACGTGATGAGCAGTTTGCCTGTTCGAGGTTTGTCAGCTACTGCTGAGAACTTGACATTAATGGAGGTGTGCTGCTTGGGTGGGAGAGTATCACCCTTCGCTACCGAGAAGGCAGGATTGTCCACCACGTATGTGTATTCCATAGTCTTGGGGAAGACATTCTTGAACGGAATGTTCCCGCTTCCACGAATGGTGTATGGACCTTGAGGACTGGGCGGTACGCATTGGCCAACCAAGGGGAATATGCAGTCCGCTGAGTCGGCTGACTTTATGAGAAGGGTATCCATGAAGTTGTTGCCGACGCGGGAGGGCTCAAAGGTGACCTGAATCTCAAGTTCAACGCCTTGATCTGCATTTGCAGGTTTTGGTGCCAAGATAGTTGCTGGACACTCAAACCCGGTCTCAGCTTTGCGGGTAATCTCACAGGTGTAACTACATCTTACTGCCAAATAGTGCATGAAGCGGACCACCTGCACTTGACGGTTCCCCAGTGGGACAGAAAATCTGACGGCAGGACCTGGCCCTGTCGTTACGGCTCGTAGCTGGAGAGCATATGCAAACGAACCCAACTCCTCGGATTCGAAGACCAAAGTTGCCTCTGAGATTTTGGCCACCGATGGTCTGAACACTATTTCAATGGGTTTATCCGATCCTGGAGCAACCTCAATCTGTGGAGGCACAAAGATCTGAGAGTCAGCGCAGCGGGATGAGAACTTAACTGGTGTGCTGAGAGGATTCTGTAGGGTGATAACACGGCTTACGCGCTGCCGAACCGAGCTCTCCAGGGTTATGGTCTGGATGGTATCTGAAGGACTGATTGTGAATGTCAGGTTGTAGAGCATGTACTCGCTTGTCGTTTCATTCAAGAATTTTACCACTGCAGATGCATTTCCTGGTTTGTACGAGTGGAATCGCATGTTATATTCCCTGGACCCGAGGGATGGGACATCTATGCTCTCAGGCCCAGTTAACGTCATTCCCATGTCTGCTGCTTTGGTGATTGTGATCGACACCTTAAAGCGCTGAGCCTGTGGCAGCCAGTTGTCGATCATGAGTGAGACCTTGGTTTTGGTCTTCGCCTTTGTGTCGGTGTGGATCTCTCCTGACGGAACAGGGTGGTCCACATATCCCTCAAGCTTGTAGAGAAGTCCCGAACCATCTGGAAGGGGAAAGAAGACAGTTCCCTCATGTTTTCCCGCGGCACCAGCACCATCCTCCGTGGCCCTCTTTGATCCAGGCCCTTGCTTGGCACCTCTTGGGGTCCTCGCCCTTGGTGTGTGTGCTTTTGGTGTCCGTGGAGTCTTCCTTCCTGACGCTGGTATCTTGTCACTGGCACCCTTCTCACTACCTTCATCTGTTCCGACCACTGTGCACTTTCCCGTTGAAAGGGGTAAGAAGTTCATGGGGTATTCTACAGATTGACCTGCTCGAATCACCAAAGTGTCTGGCCCACTCCAGCAGCTGCTGTCGATTGTAGGGTGAATGTGCCAGTCTGTCTCGGAGGGATTTGAAAGCTTTATAGACCGTTGGGTTGAGATTCGTACAGGTGTGCGGAAAGTGATGGTTTCTGGCTGTAGCGATGGAGTGCCACAAGAACCTGTCAGATTGAGGTACAGAGTCTCCCCACCATCCACACGACATGGCATACGGATGACACGAAGCTCATGACCCAGATTTTTTGGGTGGAAAACCACATCCACTCTGAGATCCTTGCTCGGGGGTAAAAAGCCCGTCATTGGGATTACTTCGAAACTGGAGTTCAGATAGGTTTTGTCCCACACGAAGCTGGTTCCAATGTCCCCGGTGTTCTCGATCTGCAGCGACTTTGTAACCCGGGACCCCAGTACCACTGTGCCAAAGGCTATGTTTTCAGTGCTGAGCTTGACTTCCAAGCCAAGGCATGCACCAGCTATAGTGAATAGTGTAAGCTCCAATCCATCTATGTCCACCTGGAAGTCGAGAGTGAACGGACTAGTGCGAGCAGTTGGAACAAAGCGGAGATCAAGTGAACCAATGTCTCGTGAACGTAAGAACAGTTGGCCCGCAGGCATGCAGAGGACACCGTATTTGTCCAGATTGCGCAAAGCCTTTTCGTAGTTGACGTGGACACCCAGTTTGCTGCGATTTTGTACCTGAATTGTGCGGACTGCCTCCTGGCCTAGGCGCATGGATCCGAAGTTGACCTGTCTCTGCCTCTGGTCAACCAACTCTAGGTGCAACAGGACCCCCTCTCCCACCACAGTTACGGGAACAATAAACAGGCCATTCACCTGGAACCTTATTGTTTCCCGGTATGTGATGGGCTGTACAGGTTTGAACACGATTGGGACGTATCGGCTCTCACCTGGCATGAGCACAGTGGGGTTAGTGGTAACCTCCAGGTATGGTGTGTTTTCGTAGAAACTGTCGATGGAAAGGTCTATCGTGTCATCGTTCGAGATAAGCAGCGATGTCTTTTTCCCTGTGGAAGCAGAAAGAAGCCCAGAGGCTTGGACAAAGCAAGGCCCAAAGTCGTAGGAGTTAAAGCTGAAGCGCACGCGAGGGCGATGCCCTGTACCTGACACCAGGAGGAGGTAGCGATTCCCATTGATGATTGAGCAAGTGACTTCGTGATCAACAATGCTCTCCTCCCGAATGGGAGAGAAAGTCAACTGGCACACAACACGCGCTCCCTTTGCTACAGTTCCTGCTGCTGGTTCGATAGCCAAAAGATCACTTGAGGTGTCGTGGAGAGCCCCCCTCCCAGCCCTGGGTCCGGTGCTGTGGCAGCTCCAGACAAAGTCGTACGCAAAATTACCCACATTTGTCATAATAATTCTTCTGGTACCGTGTTCATTGATGAGCACACGGCCAAAGTCAATGTGATTCGGTGAGTCTGCGGAAAGCTCCAATGCGCGCTGACCCTCACTAGGGACCACCTCACCCTCCCCTTTGGGAGCTAGCGACCTCTCCAGCTGTAGGGCCTCCCGGATGGCATATCCGTCTCCTTTGATGTTGAGCGTGAGCTTTTGGGTTTTCCTTTTCACATGGCAAACAGAATTAAAGTTGTAGCATTTCTCGACAGAAGGGCAGAAGACAACCTCGATTTGCATCCGACTCTTTGGTGCCAAGGTTCCACTGTAAGGGACGAATGCTAGTAACTGTGATCTTGACTCCCTCTCATGCTCCGTAAACCGCAGTACACTTCCTTCTCCTCCTAATCCTGCTGCTGCTGCTGGCAAACCCTGTCGCTCTAGGCCCTGGTTCTCAGATGTTAATTTGTCAAAATAGAAATCAAAAGCAGCGTTCTCCTCATTGATCAGTGTAACAGCTTGCCGTGCACGGGCCCCTACCAGCACTTTGTCAAAGTTCACACGCACCCTGTCAAACATGATTTTGGGCTCCAGCGCACGACCTACTAGCATGAAGGGAACAGCCACACCATGTTTGGGAATCTGGAACACCCAGAGGCTCTCATGTGTGCCATTCTGCTCAGGCTTAAACTCAAATGACATCTCCACTTTCTTCCCGCTAGCAATCACTCCACGGTTTGTCATGCAAGTGAATGCAGGGGGTGGAAGTGGGACTATCTCCCGTAAAGCACCACCCAGCTTTCCCCCATCCCGCTGGTCTGCCAATGGCGACGGCAAGTTGTGCTGTGTGGAAGAGGCCGGCTGACGGTCTGAATTAGAACCAGTATCCAACTGACGACGACCAAGAGGCAGCGACGGGGATGCCACAGGACTCTCTCCAACCCCCTCCATCGGGAAAGCGGCCTTTGCTGTAGATAGGGGTGTCCACTGGAAGTCATATGTGATGCTAGTGGTGTTGAGGGCATTGAAGCGTTTGACAAACCGTGTACGAGTTGCTAACGGTTCAAACTCGAGGACCCGGGTGAGAGGATCCAGGACCCCTAGAGCTCCCCCTGGTCCCGGTAGGTCTGGCTTGCGGCGGCCGGAAGCTACATAATCACTCTCCGGAATGTCAAAGTGGCACCATGGTCGTGTCACCTTCCCAGTGAGAGGGATCTGGAGGGTTGGCATACCTTCAGCAAGAAAAGGTATTTCGCAAACAAGGAGGCGAGAGAAGTTTTCCACCTCTACTGGTGCAAAGCGTATGCTGACGAGGGCTGTTTCTCCCATGCTTACAACACCACTCTCAGGAGAGACTGAAAATGGCTCTTTGCTTCTCCCGTCCACCTCTCCTGCTGCCGGAGGTTGCTTTCCGTCAACTGTTTTAATGCTCCATGCGTACTGCAACTTAGCTTTCCCAACATTCTTCAGTGCCAGCTTGTGCACCCTCGCCTGCAGCATCATCGTTGGGCGGAACTTGATTGGACGCATATCACATTCATAATGGGAATTATCTGCTACGGCACTGACCTTGAACGGAACAACCTTGTTGAATGCGCTACCTTCCACAGGCAAGTGAACAGGCTCAGGATCAACAACATCCACCTTCACCATCCGCTTGCCATCCACCTCGACAACCTCAACCTTTGAGTCTGGAGCGGGAACTGGGGACCGTGCAGGAGATTGCCGAGCAGAACGTCTGGGAGTCCGCGCAGGAGATTGCCGAGCAGAACGTCTGGGAGTCCTTGCAGGGGACTGTGAAGTAGGAGTCTTTCCCGTCTTCTTCTCTCCCCGTTTTCCTGTGGATGTCCCACCGCTACCCCTCTTCGCTGCTGCTCGTGGGGTTGTTTTCCTTTGCTGCAGCAGTTTCTCCTGATGCTCTTCTTCAGTTATGTATTTGAATGTCCGCATACGATCATCCCAGTCGACAGGAGGAACAGGCTCACCATTGCCGTTCACATACGTTATTGACTGGATCGTAAGCCCTGCATCTAGTCCTTCAAGCGAGACTTTCTCAGTTGGAGAAAACGTGACAAGAACATCCTTGCTTGCCCCTGCATGAAGGTGACCAACGGATGGCGAGAATTGCAGATTGGGCAGATCTGTTGGCCACTCGAACCTCCAGTGCTGCGTGGTGGATTGATTAGTCATGGTAAAGGCAATAGTGCGAGGCACATTGATAGGTCCATCTTCGAAGTGCAGCTCCTCTTCGTGGTCACCTGGTAAGCCCATGAAGACAACATCGCCTACATAGGATTCCCCTGAGATAAGGAGAGTGTGAGTATCAAACTCGTTTTGCTTCACACTGAGGGAGAGCTCCTGACGATATTCACCGGCTTCCTTGGGAGAGAAATTGACCTTCAGCTTATGAGTTGCCTGACTCTGTAGGGCCACTGTTGCTCCACCGCTCCGTGTTGTGTTTATACCCTCTACCTCGAAGGCAGGAGTTATTGGTTGAAGCAGTTTGAGGGTGGCGACGGCGGGAGTAATTCCATCATTCCGTAGGATAACGTCGTGAGATCGTGTTCGGCCCACAAGCATCCTGCGGAACTTAAGCCACCTTTGTCCTGTGCCAGGGACAAAGGATGATGATTGTGGGAGCAACTCTATCGACACATGAGGCAGTGTGCCCTCTCCACGAAGTTCACACGTGAAGTTGCTAGTCCGTGGGTCAACTCCGCCCTCAACCACAGCCTCCAATATTGCAGAATAGCTCTGAATGGCGGTCGGGGAGAACAGGCATGTCACATAGCGCCTCTCGTGAGGAGGAATGTCAAGCTTCCGTGGGTACACATCCATTACCAACGGTGAGGAATCAGGAAGGGTGACTGCCTCGCCGACGCCCCCACCCCCACCTGCTGCGGTACCCTTTCCCTTCCCTGTGCTGTCAGTGGTTGGTCCACGATCACGATCACCAACCTGCTGTCGATTTGGCTTGATTGAGAAAAGCACAGTGCATGCCACCCTGTAGGGGTTGCTGATTCTGAGATTTGCCCGCACTCCAGGCCGATCCAGGTCAACCGGCCCAGGATCTGTTAGTTGCACAGGAACAGGCAGCGGAGGAAGCGCTGCTGCCACTGCACCTTTCTTCTTGGCACCTGCGTCTGCTGGCTGGCCTCTCGGTGTGCTCCTACCTCCTCCACCTAATGTGGGTATGGGTGCTGCCGGCTTGGAAATGTCTGCAATCACAGACCCAAAGTAGAACACCCTCTCTTGCTTTGCAAAGACTGGCTGGATCAGTTGTTTTGCTGAGACCTGATCCAGCATGGGGACCACCACATGCTCCTCAAAGATGCCTTCAAGGTCTTCCGTGTCAATGCCTGGAATGCAGGCCTCCCCCGATATTTCATATGGAACACCACTAGGGCTCATGTTGGGATCCTGATCACTGATTTCAATCCCAACACGCTCAGAGTAACTCCCAGCATTCTCGGGGCGAAATGACACTGTTATCTTCTCGCAGCCCCCTGCTGGAATCTGCCCTGTACTCGGGCCAAGGTAGAAATTGCCGACCTCAAGCATCGGCTGATCAGCAGATGTTGACCTTACGGTACCTCCTCTTCCTGTCATTCCTTTACTCGCCTCTCCACCTTTAGCACCGCCTCGCTCTCTTTGCCCTGTGGGAAGAGGGCTACCAGAGCGTGCTCCTTTTCGGGGTGAACCAGTCCTTGATGGAGCTGGCGAGCCTTCAAGTAGCCAACCTGCGAGTCGCGCATCCCCCCCCTGATTAGCCCTCGATCGCTTGCCTTCTGGATCTGGGAGAGCTATGATTTTGAAAGTGAAGGAAAATGGCCCTGTGTTCGACACCTCGAATGTCCTTGGCTTGGGCAGTATGTTATAAACCACAGGTCCAAAATTGAGTCCATGAGCTGGGACAATTGAATAACTGCCATAAACTGCGTGAACCTCCAGTGGCACCGGATATTGCTTCTCTGTTATCCCAGTCTCTGGCTCGACGATGCTGAGGAGCATATCACGATTATTTCTGAGAGCCACCTCTTGCTTAAGTTCGTGTTTCTTGTTGAAGTGAACGGTCACCTGCATCACCAAGCAAAGACAAATCAGCGTTCATGAGCGCTAAACAAAAACGAATACGAATCTGGAAATGGTTGGCTTCTGACTGTCTTCTAACTCACTTCTAACTCTTTTCTGATGATTGGTGGGCTTCACTATTGCTTCCTGGAGTCTTGGACACAGCTTGTCTTTTCCAGCTGAGAGAGTGCCTGCATGCATGATGATGGCAAGGGACACACCGGAGCTTCAGACTCAGGGCATACTTACAGTAGGACCTTTTCTACTAAACTCTGGACGTGATTGGAATCAGATTCATCCCGATCTGGCCGTAATTGCAGTCAGATACATTTAGGAAAGTACTAGCTAGTCTGTGTATGCCCTCAAAAAGTGATTCTGAAACTGAGAGTTTCTTTTGTCTGCTTTTTGACGAGACTTTATGGATGTTACCATCCGTGGCATATTCTGGGGAAAACTAGCAATGTGCATGGGGTGCAGGTGTCAGGACTGGCTGTATGTGTGACCCTCTCCAGTGAAATATGGTTAGTTAGTATACGATTTTCATCTTGGATGTTCTTGCTCTTCTTCAAGCCTGGGGCAGCAGACTCTCATCAGCTGATTCCTCCTGTCCATATGGGTGTTCCATCTGGTAGCTCCTTACTTCATTTGCCTGAATTCATTCATATATAAATTTTTTCTATTCATATCTAACAGAGACTCGTTCCAAAGAAGAAGAAGAAGAAGAAGAAGAAGAAGAAGAAGCAGAAGAAGAAGAAGAAGAAGAAGAAGAAGAAGAAGAAGAAGAAGACGGAAGACGGAAGAAGAAGAAGGAAGAGGAGGAAGAAGAAGGAGAATAAGGAAGAAGAGGGACGAAGAAGACGAAGAAGAGGAAGAAGACGAAGAAGGACGAAGAAGGACGACGAGGACGAGGACGAGGACGAGGACGAGGACGAGGACGAGGACAAGGACGACGACGACGACGAAGAAGAAGAAGAAGAAGAAGAAGAAGAAGAAGAAGAAGAAGAAGAAGAAGAAGAAGAAGAAGATGTTCAATAAGAGGACGACGAGGACGAACGAGGACGAATGAGGACGAACGAAGACGAACGAGGACGGGGAGGACGAGGAGGACAAAGAAGAAGAAGAAGAAGAAGAAGAAGAGGGTTTGGGTGCACAGGATCGAGGCAGGGGGCCCGAGGGAGGGACAGGCTGGGACGGAGCAGGTCTGGGTGCGCAGGATCGAGGCGGGGGGCGACAGTTGGCAAGGTGGCGGCGAGCCCGTGAAGCGACGCGACGCTGGGAAAGGGCGAACAGAAACTGGGCGGCGGGACCGCTCACGGGCAGTGGGCAAGGGGGAACCAGCAGAACCCGCAACGAGGGGCGAAAAAATCCTGCCGTGCACGGGCAGAAGAGAAGTCGGTTCGGCTGCAGACGAACTGGGTCCTGTTCTGCTCACTTGGAGCAGGAGTTGTTTGGATCTCGAACGGAACGCAGGTGGGCAATCGGCACAGGCGGAGACCGGGAATGGGCGATGCGAGAGAAGCAGCGAAGCGACAGCTGGGCGAGCAAGAGCGAGAGGGGAGGACGTCGCCTTTCTCTATCTCTCTGCGCACGTGGCTGGAAAGCAGTGTATATTTCCATGTTCTACTGGAAGATTCATTCCGATTTTGCTCATCCTGTCAATGGAAGTAGCCTCTCTCTCTCTCTCTCTCTCTCTCTCTCTCTCTCTCTCTCACACACACACACCTGTCTCTTATACACATCTAGATGTGTATAAGAGACAG